TCATTCCAGCGTAAGCTTCCTTAGGCGTTTATAGATCTGGTTATGCACCAAGCTCTAATTTGCATCCATTCGCATTTAAATGTTGCTCCATAATAGTTATCTTGAAAAAACACATCAAAATATAAGTAGTACAGACATTCTTCAATTAAGCACAAGTTGTCCATTCCATCACTAAAAACGCAAAAAATATGAAAAAAATGATATGCAAAACAAAAGTAAATTCGGCAAAAGGATGCATCTAACACTTACCTTTTAGTGGTTTAAACTTTTCAGGACAAGTAGATAAAGATAAGAACAATGTAAGTTGAACGATTAGTGATTGACGTTTGAAGCCTACTTTTGGTTTAGTTATATGTTATACTTTTGGGTTGTATATTGGTCTAGTTATATTTTATACTTTTAGGTTGTATATAGTTTGTACGTTTCAAGTAGACATGTCCCCAATGATTATTTTGTGGTATGTTATGTAATTATTAAGCCTTAACTTACGTATTCTAGGTTGTTAAATGGTATCCCGTATTTTGAGGTTTTTGAAATGATCATCATCTAATAATGGTTCGGTAAATGTTTGTTATGTAAGTGCGGTGTTACATTACATACATCTTAAATTTTAAATATAACATATTCTAAATATAAATCCAGTTCGGTCTTCAACTAAAACACTTAATCTGAACACATTTCAAAATACATTGGTTAGGCTTGGAAAGCCTAGTGACCATTACTGAGGTTATAAACACCTTTAAAAACACCAAAAGATTAGTTATAATTTATATACGGGGAAAGAAGCATTTCATCGATAGAAACATTTCAAAACATCATCAAATCTTATCATAAGCTTTAAACAGAATGCAATGCAACATCCTTCTACTTCTTGAATCGCAAGTCAATCTCAAAGTCCAACACCTTAATATGATTGGTAAAATGGACACGCAAATACTTATGATATTACAAGATGCATTCCATGGGTATTTTATAAAACTAGAACATAGCATGCTAAATATTGTTCTCTGCATCCACTAGGAACACGTAAGTTATCACACAAGGATCACACAAGGGATAAAACAATCCATCGTGCAAGTGAGGACATATGAGCTTCATAAAATCTCACTTATCGTTTCTCACTTTGGTTCCAAGTTTCAAGTTGTCAAACAAGTCTCTAACCCATCCTAAAGTGAGTACACTTCATAATGATCAAAACTCATTTCAGAAACTAAAATTTATGTCCCTAATTTAGAAACTCTTTAAAAAAATCATTTCGTGAATGAAAAAAAAAATTACATATACTCCCTCCGTCCCAAAATTATAGTCCATCTTTTCTTTTTGGTTTGTCCCAAAATAATAGTCTACTTTTAAAAATAAATAACATTTTTACCAAAATACCCAATTATTATTACTTAACCAACTAAGCATTTAATGGAACATTAAATGCAAAGTAAAGACAAAACTGTCATTTTATTAAATAAAGTTAGTGGTAATTAATATTTTTCTTAATAGGTGTGTTTTTTTGTCTGTGGACAATAATATCGGGACGGAGGGAGTAGTATTTTACATAAGGTACTCATCTCATATCTTAGTTCAATGAAGGAAATGAAGTACATACTAGATTATGGCACATGTGTTTTTGGTAAGAAGCTTACCTTAAGAGCATGGGTTATCTATATTCTTAACAATCTCTTCAAAGTGTTTGAGGAATTATATATATATATATATATATATATATATATATATATATATATATATATAATCATCCAATAACCATCATTACACAACCTAAATTAAACTATCAAACTAAATCCCCAAAAGCCAGGTTTGCACGACATTGCAAAAATTTACAAGGTTCTCTAACTAGATCTGCAAAGCCTTACAACTGAATTACAAGGCATTACAACCTTGCACTTCGATGACACTCTTTCCTGTGCAAATCTAACCTTGTTGCAAGGCCTTATATTGTTGAACCAAATTAAGGAATTCTTTTGTGGTTTTTGCCAAATTTGATTTTAACACTCCCAACACTAATTTAAACAATTATAATGCTAGTAGTAGGTTCAAAACGTTATTTAAACATGTCATAAACATCATATATCATCATTGAATTATTGAAGGTATGGATTGAAGTGATCATCTCAGAAATAGGGTTTCTATCATGATTTTTATTAAGGATTATTTAATCAGCTTCTAATAATATTACCACCTTTTTAACATGCTCAATTTATAAATTTAATGAATTATGGATGTTGTTTTTGTCAAAATCAAGCCTAGAACTCCACTAAAACACCAAAAACTCACTTTCAATTCAATAGAAGGATTCAACACCGTGATTTTAGACTTAAAACTACTTATGAATACATCTAAAACTTAATACTAAACCTAATCTATACACAAAAATCAGATTCCAATATATTCATGGATGAATTCATGAAGCTAGAGTTTCAAACCACCATTAAAGCTTCATAAACTACTTCTTGATCATAGATATAAACTTACATCATTAGATTAGTGTTAGAGCTTAGAATTCAAAACTTAACTTGATATAATCATGAGTTTCATAGTAGAATTCACATTTGAGGAACATTTGAATCTTAAACAACAAAGAGTTGTAAGTATGGCTACCTTACAATCTTCTTCTTGAGGAATTGTCTTAGAAATGTAATTAAGTCTTCAAATTAGCTTCTAATTTCACCATTGCACTCTCAAAATTGATTCTCCTCTTTCCCTAGTCTAACTTCTAATCGATATGTATTGAACTATAATTATCACATACTTCTAATGTCGTAATGTGGAGAATGGGGAAATCCAGGGGGGGTTAAGCTCATATTTTCAGTGGTTTTTGCACTAAAAATCATTTTTTTAATTACCAAATAAGACTAGGAAACTATATCGTTGTTAATGTGAGTACTCTAACTTTAAATGTTTATTAAGGAAGAAATCATTTGATGTTTTTCATTCGTTTGAATTAATTTGTTTATGCTGCTACGAAGTTGGGGATTTTAACTTGTAATTCATTTTCAATGGAGATGGAAAAGAGAAATGGTTAAAAGAAGGTTGTGACGGTATATGTTTTGCGGTGAGTCCTACGCTAAAAAGTCAAAAAAATGGTAATGCCAATTTATCTAAAAATTATGTATCTTATTTTAAATTCTAAAAAAGATGTCACAACGGAAAACCTTGAAATATTTTATTATAGGTCAAAGCGCTCAAATTAAAAAAAAAAAATAATAAGATTTTTTGAGAACAAATAAATCATTCTAAAAAATACAAAAAAAAATGAAAACAAATTCAACAACATACTGCCTTTAACAAAAAAAAAATCTAATTTTAACAACTTTTTCTAACAAAAAAAAAAACAAAACTACAAAAATTGTCCATATGGTATGCAATTTTTTTAGGTTTTGACCATGTTTGCTTGTGACAAAACAACAAACCCCGATTTTTTTTTGCTTCGTGGTCCTTTTGACCATGTTTGCTTGTGATTTTGGTCACTCAGACAACTGAAAAGACTAAAATGCCCTTTCTGATATTTTTTTATGTTTTTTCATTTTAATTTAAAAGAAAAAAAAAAATAGTTAATTAACTTGGTCCATCTCTCTCTCAAAAACATCTTCATAACACACAGGCTCCATATTTTCTTCCTTTGTTCTTCAAAACAGATACACTTTATTAAAAAGGGCTAATGTCATAAAAACCATCAAATTTTTAAGGTTTTGTCGGTTTTGCCCAAAGTTGAATTTTGTGTCCGTTTTTACCTTAATATTTTCCAAAAAATGTTCGGTTTTACCCTTTTACCGGTGATAACAGGTTACCATTATATCAACTTCGAAATAAACCCTTAAGTTTACAGTTTTTTTACGTTTTTACCCTTAAGTTTATAATTTTTTTTTTGCACTTTCATCCTATGTATTTTTTTCCATATTATACGTATTCATGCAGAAAAATCATATTTATATACGAAAAACATTTAACTAAATATTGTATTTACATTTTTTTAATGTTATTTCCTTATATATATATATATATATATATATATATATATATATATATATATATGTGTGTGTGTGTGTGTGTGTGTGTGTGTGTGTGTGTGTGGGGGGGGGGGGTTTCTTGGATAAACCATTTAATATGTAAAAAAAACAAATTAATATGTTTTTAGAACTACAAATACGTATTTTTATGTATTTAAAAATATACATATCAATCAAAAAAACTTGTTCAATCATAAACATGTTTATATAAGTATATACATATATTTTTAGAAGTGTAAATATGTATTTTGATATATGTTTTTTTAAAAGTATAAATATTTTTTTAGAAGTATAGATACATATTAATATATAAAAATGTAAAAATATGTATTTATACTTCTAAAAACTATATCTATAAAACATGTATTCATAATTCTAAAAATATTATTTATCTTTTTAAATGGTATAGCCTTGCAAACACACACACACACAAACAAACAAACATATATATATATATATATATATATATATATATATATATATATAAATATATATATATATTTAATACAATATTTAATTAAATTTTTTTTTGTATATAAATATGATTTTTCTGCATGAATACGTATATTATGAAAAAATATACTTAGGGTAAAAGTGTAAAAAAATTATAAATTTAAGGGTAAAAATGCAAAAAAAAAAAAACGGTAAACTTAAGGGTTTTTTTTGCGAATTTAATATAATGGTAACCTGGAAAACCTGTTATCACCGGTAAAACAGTAAAACCGAACATTTTTTTGAAAATGTTAGGGTAAAAACAGACATAAAATTCAACTTTGGGCAAAAACCGACAAAACCCTGAAAACTTGAGAGTTTTTACGACTTAACCCTGTTAAAAAACGCATACACACATGCACTCAAGAACATCTACCTCTCTCTCTCACACATATATACACATAATTAGTTCTCTTTCTCTCACAAACATCAATCTGGGTTTGGTTGCAAGGGAGGAAAAACGTGAATGATTTCCGAGATTTGACTTTCTCAGTTGTGCCCACATGCAGCTCCAATAGAAAGCTGATAAACCTGTTTACAAAATCAAACAAAAATCAAACACTAAAACTAAATACTAAAACAGAGCAATGGAAATACTAAAACAGAGCAATGGTGAAACAAACCTCTCTTTCATTAAACATTGGAACTTGAACAAGAACCAAAGGGTAAACAGAGTTACCCAATTCAACATCATCTTTGAATGATTCCCATTTATTACGTTTTTCTGCTTTTTTTCCCAAACAATTTCTTGAGTACAACCACCAAAGCCATGTAAACTTTCTCCATGAACAACATTACAGACATAGCAAGAGAAACATACATCAACATTCTCAACAATGGCACCTCTAATGGTGCCTTGATTTGGCCCCCGATCACCATGATTCGCCCTGTGATGTCGTCCCCACCATTTGTAAACGATTCTAGTGGAATTTTAATCGTTGGAATCGTCCCCATTTTCTTGTTTGTAGAGAAAGAAAAACAAGAAACTGAAAACACAGAAAACAGAGGATGCTGTATTTTCTGTTTTTTGCTGTTTTAGGTTGGATTTTGATCGTAAATACAACAAAATTCTCGAATTTTAAAGTGAACCCATTTGATTTTAGAGCGGAATTGAAAGTTTTACCGAAGAGATTTTTATAAAGATTTAGTAATCAAAGAAAATATGGAAATATTTTTGCTTCTATATTGAGAGAGAGAGAGAGAGAGAGAGAGAGAGAGAGAGAGAGAGAGAGAGAGAGAGAGAGAGAGAGAGAGAGAGAGAGAGAGAGAGAGAGAGAGAGAGAGAGAGAGAGAGAGAGTATGTGGGCCCCTATTTTTATTTTATATATATAAATACTTATAGGGAAAAAAATAAATATAATAAAGACAATTTAGTCTTTTCAATTTACCGAAATACCAAAATCACAAAAAAACTACCTCAAAATGACCATCAATCCAAAAAAGTTGTGGTTTTAAGTAAAACCCCAAAAAATTGCATAGCATAGAGACCATTTTTGCAATTTTGTCCAAAAAAAATATATCCTCTAAAAAATAACAATAAGTTGTTAGGGAGGAAAGAGTCGTTTCCCTCTTCCCGCCGAAACCGCTAAACCCTAGGCGGAGGGTATCGAACCCGTCCAACCCCAAAACCGCCGACACCATCTACTTCAACTTTTCGTCTTTGAGTTGTCTCCCCAGCAGGTTCCTCAAACCGCTAAACCCCTCTCTTTCTCTCTTGTTTTCATCATGTCCATCCATTTCCTCCTCCAACCCGCTATGACTCATTCCTCCCTTATAGTGGTCAAATCATGTTGGTTCTTTTTTAGATCATTTGTGAGGCCGTCTGTGTAACGCTAGGGGTGTTCAAAACCGGATATCCGTATTTCGGATATCCGAAAATTTCGGATAGTTGATATCAATATCTGTATCCGTATCCAAAGTTTCGGATACGGATACGGATTCGGATACTAAACCGGATATCCAAAAAAATCATCTTCATTGTTGTTTAAAAAACTTACAATTTACAAAATCTATTTAATAAATAATAATGTAACAAAATAAATTAACAATTGAAAACTTATACAACTAAAAACTACAAACTGTCATACGCTAGTGCTCGTTAAATGCCTCAAATCAAGAGCAAACTTATACTTTGTTATCTTTGTTTTTGAAACCAAATATATTCCAGTGATTGAGTATTAAATATTAACATATAAAATAGTATAAACCAACATCCATTTACTATGTAAAAAAGCTTCACAGCGGACGAAGACATAAAAAAACAATTCAAATATGAACTCCTATCTAAAACGCATGAATTAATGTTTGCTTTATTTTTGAAACAACAATCAGTGATTCCACTAATGGAATACTAATAAACCAACGTTCATTTACAAAGTAAAACGAGTTTCATATTCAAACAAATAAAATACGTACTCATACACTAAAGGTATACACAAACAAAAAAAAACACGTAACACACAAACGCTAAGTCACTAACAAAGTCTTTCTGATCCCATTTTCTAATAATAAATAAATTAAAGATATTAATAAAAAAAATCGGATATTGCATATCCGAAATATCGGAAAATTCATAAAATCACTATCCGTATCCGTATCTGGAAAAACGGATATCCGAAAATTCGGATAGTTTCAATTCGGAATTTCGGAGTTTTGAATATGGATATTTTTGAACACCCCTATGTGACGCGGTTACTTAGTGAGACATGACTTCAACATTTACGTCCTCATATCATATCTTAATGTGATTATGGTGATCTGATGTTGTTGTTACAATTATAATAGTCAAATAAGAAAAAAAAATGCTAAAATTAAATGGCTCTATTGCGAAAAGTACATCTTATTATGATAACAAGCTAATCTGCAATAAAAGTTTATGGTGGTCGTGATTAGATTTTTTTTTCAAAATGAAGAATAAGTTTAATCAAACAAATAAAATATAAATATTTAAATCATGAAATTAAACTAATGCCATAGGCATGTTCTAGAAGAAATAGATGTTTTAAACTTCTAATAAACGAGGAGAGTTGGTATGTGAGTAAGTGGGTTCCACACGTATACCTGTAAACGTAGACTTTGACATTTTAGGCTATTTGGAAATTAGAGATCGAAAGTCAAATGGGTTTTCGGAAACCATTTAATGAGTTCTGTGGTTTGGGTTGACTTACTAACCAAACACCTTGGATCAATTACCCTTAGTTTTGTACTACAAGCTTGTATTTTAAAATTGTATTTATCAAAGTCTTCTGATTTCAAAATTAATCACATAAACATAAACATAGCAGAAGTTTTATCAAGTGTAGGTCCTTTTTTTTTTTTTTTTTTTTAAATTTTAAAAAAAGAGTGCAAATCAACTCCCCTCTTATCACCGCAGAAATCATGTTTTAGCATCGCTTCACCATCTCTCCATTACACTGCTACAAATTGGTCGCTTCTCTGTTATCACCATTAGCCTATTTTTCATCAACATATTTCAAATATAATCTATATACGGGCTCTGTTTTCTCAATCCCCTCAGCAAGAAAGGGTGACCAATAAATTTAAACATGAACAATTTATTTTGGTTTCTTGTCATGGAATCATCATCAGTGAAAAGTGAAACTAGATTGGGGAACAGAGACAATGACAAGCAAACATTGAAGGGATTCTAATTGGTTTCTCTCCATTGAATAACCTAAAAATATTACGGTTGTGGGCCTAAATTCTAACTGATTCCTGAAATTATAGAATTATTTGTAGATTTAATTCTTGTGTATACGTGGTTTCATATTGCTAATGGTCTCCAGTGAGCGAAATACAAGATCTCTGCGATTTGTTTGCATCTTGATCTTTATCTCATTTATATTTTATTTACCTTTGACACCTAATTAGATATACAATGTTGTCGAATAGTCAAAATGATGCGAGTATTCATTCATGAAAAACATAGACATTGTTTGCGCAACAACCAACTTGAAGGAAGAAAAAAAAACGACCCCAAAGTTTTTTCATATTTCTACTGAAAATTCAACATCGCCTCTATGCAATCTCAAAATATTCAAAAGAACATATTTCAATCAAACTATGGTCCCTCATAAAAGCATCTAATTATTTCCAACACTTTCCAAGAATTATAACATAATTTGCAACCACAAAATCTCCAAACAAAAACTAGTAATGGAAATACAATTTTAGCTCTTATCCGATAAATCTTCATTTGGACCCCATATCACCTCAGTATACTCGACTACTACCCATCTGGAACCTGTATCTGAAACACTTAGTTTTCACTTTTAGTTTTCAATTACTATGATTTTTAATCATAAAAATGATATGCAACAATCAACATAATCATCATCACACCAAATCTATTTCTTTAAATTCTAATAAAAATTGTTTTCCAAAGTTTCCTTATTTAGAAACTTACTTCCCATAAAAATGTCATTCATGTAAGGTACTCTAAGTTTCCATTTCTTATTGTTAACATGTGTTTTTTTTATCAATGTTTATCCATAAAATAGCATTTTACACTACTAATTCCAATCTACATAAAGTTTCCATTTTTTACTATTTAAGCATCCTACTTACCATAAAGGGTTTACACACCGTTTTGAATGTCTTTCAAGTAATTTACAATTCACTTTTTTCTTCTAAATACATAGTAATACTTTAGTTATTCATCCCTCTAATTCATACATGTAAATAGCACCGTACTTTCGAACTTTCCAATTTTAAAAACTTTTTTCCATCTAAGACTTTAACACATAGCAATAAATACATTATCATCATTCTTAACCAACATATCTCCCTTTTACCAATTAAACAACATTTCTCATATTATACATCTTTATTTCATTCTTGCATCTCTAGACTCCATTCATTAGTGATACGCTTCCAATTGTTTTTAGTCACATACATCATCCATTGCATTTAGCATAACATCTAATGGTACCAAATGTCCTAAATTACCAATTATAACCACTCTTTACATTTAATTGTCTACTAGCATCTTGAAAGTCATATATGTATATCCATCTTTCAAATTCAGTCAACTGGCTATCACCTTCAACCTCAAGAACACAACCAATAATTGCATTTTTCTGCATCTTTTCATCAATATAACCAAGATTACTTGCACAATTTCATCATGCATTAATTCCCAAGAACCCAATTTGAAACCATAACTTCTATTCTTCTCTTTTTTGTTCCTTGTATCTGATCTGTCTCCCGTATCTCTATGTTTTCTTTATCTGTGTCCTTTCCCTCTCTATACTCGATCATCTCTCTATCTCGATCGCTCTCCCTCTTGTTTCTACTCGACGAACACACAGTGTTAGTGTGTTTCTCCTCCCGGTCGGTGATCCAACACTCCTCAAAAAAAACATTTTTGACCCACCTTTTTTTTACTCTTTAAATCCACATGTGATTATAAATGGTTGAAAAAATTAAATATGGTTATACTCAAAGTTAGACATGGTGGATTACATGACCATTTTGACACATAAACTGTTGGAAATGCCCCTGTGAACAAACCCAAAACATACGTAGGGTTACATCTTTCTAAACTCTTGCCCCTTCATTCAGTAACATAACATACAATATATATATACACGACCTAGCTGCCTACTCCACTTTTAAAGGAAACAAACTCTACCTAGTCAAAGCAATAAAACAGGACCCAACTAAACCTATCTAAACTATACTAAAAATCTGCAGAATAAACATGGCCTACATTGCCTTTACTTATTCAAACTCTACAAGAAGGACTAAATACCCCTAAGGATAATCACTTGACTCAATTTGGATTAACACCAACATAAACATGGCTAGACTCCATCATAGAGACATATACATCAATCTAGCAAGTAAAGGTAAGACAATGGCATGACTTAAGGAAATCATCAAGGAGCACACCCATAAGGGCTAGAAAACCATTCACATCATAGCCACCGTACATGGTGGCGTTAAGGTGCTCT